AAGCCATTTACTTTATTATGGTACAAATATTCATTGCAAAATGAATTATTGTGCTTTAATCTTATTTTCTCTTGTAAAAACTCTGATTTTCTTGGAATTTCTAATTCCTTATATTCCTCTTTTGCCCTTTCTGCCATCACCATGCTATGGCTTAGCATTCTCATGTAACTCTCTTGCCAACCCTGTGAAGTGTATTTATCATTATTATTTTCATGTTACAGAATAGGAAGAGCAGACTTGGAAGAAGTTAAGTAAATCCTGGTTATAATTCTAGTGAGGCAGGGGCAGGAGTTAAATTTAGACAGTCTTATTCCAGGCCCCTTGATCTTAACATTTACTACATATATCTTTAGTTATATTGTATACTGATTTTTTTCTTACTTCCTTCTTTTGCTAGAGCACATCCTCAAAGCAGCTTCCTTAGGGTGCATTAAAAAAAAGAAGAAGAAAGAAAAAGTCACATTTTTTATGCCTTTTTTTTTTTTCTTTTTACTAGGAGTTTAGCCCAGGGTTGCTACATCTCCAGGCCTTTTTTACTTTTTATTTTTTGGCAGGATCTCACTAAGTTGTGAAGGGCCTTGCTCATTTGCTGAGGCTGGCCTCAAACTTGGGATTTTCCTGTCTCAGTCTCCTGAGTTGCTAGGATTACAGGCATGCCCAGCATTTTTATGCATCTTTTCAAATCATTCTGTCCTCTGACAGTGGTGCAATGTCTTTAAAATTCAGAGGGGAAATATTTTGATAAGAAGTCTGATATTATTCTGATTTCAGTTCTTTTATATTAGTTTTAGGGAAGTTTTTATAATCTTTTCTTTATCCCTTATTCTAAAATTATATATTCTAAAATTACTGTAGTATCTCCTTGATAAATGCCCTCTTCCTCTCTCTTATTTTTATTCCTGAAACTCTAACTTATTAGAAGTGAGACCAGCTGGATCCATAGTCTAACATATTTTCTTATGTTTATATCTTAACTTTTTGTTCTATTTTCTGGGATATTAGGTTATTTCCCAATCCATATTTGGGATTTATGACTCATATTTAATTTCCAAGACCTCTCTTATATTCATTCCATGGTTCTTCTTTCTTCTGTAGCATCCTTTTTTTAATATTTAAAAAATTATTATATATGGACACAATATCTTTATTTTATTTGTTTGTTTTTATATGGTGCTGATATTCAAACCCAGTGCTCTTTTGTGTGAGTGCTCTACCACTGAGCCACACCCCCTGCCAATAGCATCCTCTTTTACTGGATGGAATAGCCTTTCATATTTTTCTGTAACTATAAATAATGACCTTTTTGAAACTTCTATTTCTCATTTTTTTTTGTTTCCTCCAGGATTATGGTTCTGTTTACTTGTCTTGGAATCTTACATCTTGGTGTCTTTCTTTTAATACTTGTGATTTTTTTAATCTGTGCATATTTCAGAATAAGGTACTAAAAACTGGATGGGTAGTTGAGGCTTGTTGATTGCTTGGCTTTATTGAGCTTGATCAAGTAGGGAACTCCAGAGGGACCCCCCAGTGCCAGTTCATACAGGTATTGTACATTGGGCCACTGAGCTCCTCCAGAAACAGAGTCTGGTCCTCAGGGGAGTGGGGTGGGTGGGAGTGATTCCTGGCAATGCCCCTTCTGTACAGAGGAGTTGGGAAGGAGGAAGGGACTAGAGGAATATGTCTCAGAGTTGCATTTTTGCTCCTGTTTACTCCACCTGGGTTCTCAAGGTTCACAGACTTCTCTGGGGTTTTACATGGCAAGCTGGCTCTACATTTGTCTGTATTTGCCATGTGCCCAGTGAGGCTGTGATTTTCTTTTTCTGATTTTTCCAGTTACCTCTCCCCTAACAGCTTTCTATCTTCCAGAAATTCACAAATAACACTCATTCAACAAGAACTCCGCTTCCATTCTTTCTCACTGGGGACCTGTATTTATTGTCTTGCTTTACTACCACTTAAATCAGATCTCTTCAAGGGAAGGAGATAAATATGGGAAACCAGTCTTTTACCTGAGTCAGTCTTAATATCACTTTAAAATGAAAATGTTGCACTCTCTTTCACTTCTGCAGCCTCAAGATAGGTCAACAAAAGAGCAGGGAAGAATCTTGGGGTTCACACTAACCCAACCCTGGGGCAAGGAGAGGTCAGCCTTTTTTCCAGGAGTGGATCAGCAGGCCTGCCTTCACCCTGGAGGGACTAAGTGTTAGTGGATTTGATACTCTGTATAAATCCAGCACAGTTGCCTCTTTGGTCTTTCTCTTGCCTAGAGGGTGGAATCCCTCTTTTATCCAGGCAGGCACCATTGTCAGAGTACTTGGTGTGTCCTATACATCAGTGAGAGTTGGAAAGAAGCTGTGCATTAGCCCTCAGGGAACCCAGTGTGCACACACTCATTTCTCCTTGTAGGCTGAGCTGTGAAAGGGATTCAGAGCTGGTTGTCTTGGCTACTCCTTCTCATCAAAGAGGGCTTAAGAGCTTCTGTTGGTGTATTTTAAGCTTCCTCCCAGAAGGTCCCAGAGCTTGCTTCTGGGAATTGCCAGGGTACCCTGCCAAGTACTTTTTTGTTTGTTCTAGCAAAGTCTAGCTGCTGCCCCCTCCCACAGAAATCTCCCATGGTCAGCTAAATCTGGTGCTTCCTGCTGTGGCCCTGTTAATTCATTCCTTCTTTACAGTTGTATTGAATACCTGCCATACATCAGGCACACTGGCATGTCTGAGGATACAAGGCAAGCTGAAGAAGTGCCATTCTGCCCTCAGGGAGCTTCAAGGTGGTCTGGAACAGTGGATGATGGCTGAGGCCCCTTTCTAGTAAATACACTACTACATAAAACTGCTGCTTATGGGAGACCTGGGGTGAATTATTTTGTAACTTGAATGATATCTATCTATCTATCTATCTATCATCTATCTGTCTATCTCTCTATCGAATTTGCTTGTTTCCTTTGGGATTGTTTGGTTTCATCTTTCCAGGTTTTATTAACCCTGGACTTGCAGGTTATTCCAAAGATTTCCAAAGCAGAGATAATGATGCAGCAGCCTGTGGTATGTGTTGGTGGAAACTCTCTGTGCAGACTGGTGAGAACTTTATTTCACAAAAATTAGTGTCACCAACTTAGAAAGAAGCAATGGGGAGGCCTGGGGAGATGGACTTCCAAAGATTTCTTTGGGCCGCCATTTCCCAAAGTTAGATTTAGAGAACACTGGTTCCACAGAGAAGTAGTAAGTCTAAATTATGGAGGAAAAGAGTGGTCCCTGGTCCAATACCGATGCCTTTTCTCTGGAAACAGAGGTCTTAGAAGGGCTAGAGCACGGTATTCTCCAAATTTCATTTTTCAAGGACACTTTGTTTATGTTTTTTAAATTATTATTATTATTTTGGGTACTAGGGATTGAACTTAGGGGTGCTTTCCATGAAGCCACATCCTCAGACCTTTTTATTTATTTTTAAAAATTGAGACCAGTTCTCACTAAATTGCTTGAGTCACTGGGATTAAGCCATCACACTTGGCTGTGTGTGTGTTTTTAATCACAGCAAATAGAGCAGACCAACACTTTTTTGAGTGTGCTCCAGAGTCATTCCACAAATGACATTGAGATATGCCCCCAGAAATGGATTTGGACTTCTATGTAGGCTGCTTCCAGGCAGTTATCTGAGGAGAAGGATGAATAGAGAGGGAGTTGTGGTCAAGCTGCATCTTTATAGCAAGAACATGGTATTGATAGGTAACTTGTGGCTTAAAATAGCAAAATCATCTGATGGTGCTTTTGTAAATCACATTTCCAGGTCAGAGTATATCATCTTGGCTTTTATTCAAGAGCGGGAAGTTGTGAGGAGCACTAAAGCCCCTCTCTCCCTTGGTGCTTCACTGACCATGGCTGACCTATGCTCAAGGAGGCCTTGTGCTTGGGTGACCTTGTACATATTTCCCTCTCTAGATGAAAAAGGTATAACTCAGACTCCCCTGTGGTGTCCTTTAGACAGTGAATTGGTACCTTGTGCCCCATCTCAGTGACATCCTGAGCAACTCTACGTGTCTGCTTTATTTGTTGATGCTTCTGCAAAAATTTCATTCAAACCAAGGGTTTCTGAAGCTAAAAGATTTGGAAACCAGAGGGAACATAGTCCTCATTGCTCTATAGGGCCCTACTGAATCTTTGTCAGTTAGAAATTGGTACCTGGTACCACATCGTTTTTATTGGGATGTCAGGGAGATCACTGATAAATGTCACCTGAGGAACACAACCTATAGGTTTGCACTTGGGTGAGGAGCCGAGGCCATTTTCCCTCACTTCTATTTTTAGATACAAATGACTAGTGACTAAGAGCCCCATGTAGGGAGGAACCTGCAGATTCATCCTACGAGCAGTCTAAGTACATGTTTTAGGCATTAGTGAAGTAGGAACACCAAAAATGTTTTTAATTTGCAAAATCATCAAAATTTTCATCATGGTAAAAGTCAGAACTTGCTTGAATGGTCTCAGACTTCTTTCTGTTTTGATCTTGCTTTTTACTGTTGAGTTAGATATATGTGTGGCAGGTGGGACCCCATCTCCTCAGGGCCTGGAATCCCTAAAGCTCTCTTGTCAAGTTCATCTGACAGGTACATTACCTAAAGGATCCTTTCAGTCTTTAGCTTCAGTTACACAAACCCCTGCCTGCTCTGGGCAGATTCTTAAAATATTTGCCCGTCAGCAGCCTCTCAGAGAGGAATGTTAAACACTGCCATGATGTCAAAGGGGCCCCAAGGAGAAAGGCCTCTGCCAAACTCAGCCTGTCACAGCCCAAGGCTGAGTGGGAGATAAGCAAGGCAAAAGCACAGAGAAARCCTGGTCCTCTGGGCTCCCCAAACAGCCCAGGCAGTCCAAGCAGGTTGGTGCTACAGGGCAAGGCTGTCAGCTACCAAGGACAATGAACTTCCAGAAACTACTGCTGAAGTGAGAACTAGAGGTCTGTGGCCCTTCCATTTCCTCATCCTTGCCCTTGTCAAGCCTGAGTTGGGATGTCAGGAGCCTCCAAGGAGAGTTTGGGACCAGTGTTGGGCAAGGCCTGCTTAACCACCATGGACAGAAAGCTTAACATGCTGAATGAGAAGGTTGACAAACTCCTGCATTTCCAAGAAGATGTCACAGAGAAACTACAGTGTGTGTGCCAAGGCATGGGCCACCTAGAGCAAGGCCTGCACCGGCTGGAGGCCTTCCAAGGGTTGGGCCCAGGGGCGGCTGATAGTGCCCCTCCAGCTGACACTCAGGCTGGGTGGACTGAGGTCCTAGAGCTGGTGAGGGCTGTGCGACAGGATGGTGCCCAGCATGGTGCCAAACTTGAAGCTCTCTTCAGAATGGTGGTGGCTGTGGACAGGGCCATCGCTTTGGTGGGGGCTGTGTTCCAGAACTCAAAGGTGGTGGAYTTCATCATGCAAGGGAGCATTCCTTGGAGAAAAGGCAGCCTGGTTGACAGCCACGAGGAGGTTGGTTCCTGCTTCCTTTCCCTGGCTGGAAGGGAAGCCTGGGCACTGGTGGGGAGACTGGCCAGGCAGCTAGGGTTTGGAGAGTTGGAGAGATGGTGTCCCTTTCTTGTGCCTCAAGTGTGTTGCATTGACTGGGGAAAGGAGAGTTAGAACCATAGAGGTCATGGATAGATTTCTGGTCAGACTACTGAGTGCTGCTCTCCCAGGGAAAGGCAGAAGCAGCGCCCTAGCCAAGACTGTGGGACCTTGGGCAGTTCCAAGCAATCCAGAGGTCAGGGACAAATTGGCAGTTAGGGAGTGAAGGTCATTAAGCTTCTGTACTTTCTCATGCACTTATTTTCTCTTTGGGCCTCTTTCTGCTCCTCACCTGGGATGGAAACAGGTGGGTAGTGCTTAGTTTCCTATGACAGGCCCTACTCAAAAACCCATCCCCCCTTCCTGTCCCCAACTGTGTGTTTTGTCCCAGAGTAGGTGGAGTGTGCAGCTGCCTGTGGGGATATGAGTGTTGACAGTGACCTATGGGGGACAACAGGCAGGGGCTGGAGCCTGGGGGTGGAGGGTGGCATTTCTGGGAGTGGCTGTTCCCAAGGGTTGCATAATCAAACCTGCTGGTTAATGGAAGCTCGGTTTCTGGTGGGGGGTGTAGGAGGGAGTGGAGGGGTGAGGTGTGCAGAGGGGACACCCTATTTGGGCACATGAGGATCAGCCACTGAGACAGCCTGGAGCCAGGGGATGAGTTGGGGTCTAAAAGGGTTTGCGCTTGACCCTGTTGGCTACTAAGGCTGACACAGGAGGATAGGAAGGTACCTTCCTTCACAGCCCAGCCAGGGCAGGGCTCACCCAGCTGATCCCTTCCCCTCTGTACCCTGCAGCCCCTCCCAGAGCTTGCCCATCCCCCAGCTTTCTGCTGTCTGCCCTGGACTTTCCCTGAGAGCCTGACCTGTAGGGGAGATCAGATCCCTGCAGTGGCCCTTGCCACTGATAACCAACCTTGGCTTTAAAAAAGAAAATCTATTAATCTAATAAAATAAACTTTATTAATAGTTTCAAAAGGAAAATTACTATGTACATGGTAAGCAAAACATGATATTCAAGTCCCTGGGTTCAATCCCCAGCACACCAACTCCCCACCCCCTCAAAATCCAAGCCAAACCAAACCAACCAACCAACCAAACAAACAAACAAACAAACAGACAAACATAACAAAAACTGGAGACAACTCATATAGTATAAAGAGTGTATATTTACCTCCTATTCAATCCCCTAGTCCCCAGAACAACTCCTCTCACCTCTGTAAGCAATCGCAAGTACCAGTTTCTTTTGAATCCTTTTAGATATGGGGTCTGCCTATAAACCTCACCTTTAGTTTTTTGTTTTATTTTCTCCCAAATGTTATTCACTTTGTTCTGGCCTTGATATATTAAATACATTAAATCTTAATGTATTTTATTTAATGTAATGTTCACATTAAATCTTAATGTAATTGGGGCATTGTTTTGTATCTAAGCCTAGAAAATTTCCTTGTGCTTGTTTCTTAAAGTTGCAGAGTACTCCATTTTGGAGGGATATATCTTAATTTGTTAACTGGTCCTATATCCTTTTTTCTGATTTTTAACTATGATAAATAATGATGTAGTGACTATCCATAGATGTATGTCTTTGAATACAAGTGGTGTGAGTTTATTGGTATGATACACTGCTAGTAGTGAAGGATAAATTTGTATCAATAAAGTCAAACTGATCTTCAAAGAATTTATTCTAATTTAGTCTTAGGTCTGGGGATATAGTTCAGTTGGTAGAATGCTTATCTCACATGCACAAGGACGTGGGTTCAATCCCCAGCACCACCAAAAAACAAACAAAAACCAACAATTTAGTCTTTTCCCATAACATATGGGAATGCTTATTGATGCTACATTGGCTAATACAGCATATTACCCAACTTTTTGATTGTTTTTCTATTGAATAAAAAAAATCAGATTTTTAAAATATTTTTTTAGTTGAGGATGGACATAATACATTTATTTATTTGTTTGTTTGTTTGTTTGTTTATTTATTGTGCTGAGGATCGAACCTGCCAGGAAAATGCTGTACCACTGAGCCACAACTCCCAGCCCCCCAAATGAGATCTTACTGTGCACATGTTTTTGGATATTTTAGTATGAAAAACTTCAGGTATTTATAAAAATAGAGATTATTATAGTCATCTCTTAGTATCCATGAGGGATTGGTTCCAGGAACCTCTTGGAAAACAAAATCTTCAGACGCTCAACTCTCTTATATAAAATAACATAATATTTGCATATAACCTATGTATATCCTCTTGTATTCTTTAAATCATCTCAAGATTACTTATAATACTTAATAAGTGCTATTTAAATAGTTGTTATACTATCTGGTTTAGTTGTTATACTATCTGGTTTAAAGAAACAAGGATATAGGACCAGTTAATAATAATGACAAGAAAAAAATATCTGTACCTGTTCAATACAGATGCAAATTTTTCCTGAATATTTTCAATATGAGTTTGGTTAAGTGTTCATAGTAGAACCCATGGATACAGAAGACCAGCTGGGTAATGACCTGTGAGTTCATCTCTTGGCTTCAGCCATCAATAGGAAATCAGTGTTAGTTCATGGATTCCCCACCCATTTTCTCTCTCCAGATTACTTTTTCTCTTTTTTAGTTTTTATATTTTTGGTTATGGACAAACCTTTAATTTTATTTTATATGGTGCTGAGAATCAAACCCAGTGACTTACACATACTAGGCAAGCGCTCTACCACTGAGCCACAACCCCAGCCCCTCCAGATTACTTTTGAAGCAAATATGAGACATTGAACGATGTCTTTCATAAATGTTTCAGCATTTATATCTAAAAGATAAGGATTATTTTAAAAGCATACTTACAATACTATACTTTGAATACTGACTTTGGTAGTATTACCAAAGTCAGTATTCAAAGACCCCTGATTACATTACAATTTTTTTAAAATATTTTATTTTTCAGTTGTAGTTGAACATAATACCTTTATTTTATTTATTTATTTTTATGTGTTACTGAGGATCGAACCCAGGGCCTGGCACATGATAGGCGAGCACTCTACCACTGAATAACCCCAACCCAGATTATATTATAATTTTAAATTTTTAGTGGTTTATTTGAAGCATATTCAAGAAAAGTGATTGGTTATATGTCTCTTAAAGCTAACTGTTCTTTTTGAATTCATAAAATGATTTCAAACTTTTTATTAAGAAGAATTTCAAACATAACCAAAAGTAGACAGAATGTTTTATCTTGTGGTTTTATTCTATATTTATTTTACTAAAAGAGTGAACATTGTTCTTATGTTTAAAAACCTTGTATTTTCAGTGAAATGCCTGTTCATGTCCTTTTCCTTCTTTTCTATTTTGTTTTTCTGCCTTTTTATTATTGATTTACATGTTGCAAATATTTAGTCATTTCTGGATGGGGGGATGTTACAGAATTTTTTTCTAACTTCTTGCAACATTTGTCTTTATTGCCCCATTGGCTCTAGATTGATCTCTCTCTGATCCTTGTATTTAATACACATATTAATAACTATCTACAAATGTAGGTCCAGCCTCCCAATGTGAATGTCAGCTACTGATCAGTCCATTGCCCTGAAGCTTCTACTTACCAGGGGTGGTCTTACAGGAAGTGTTTGGACAGTGAACAGAGACATATAGCTATTGTCAGTGCTGACAACTGCATTATGGAGACTTTCTGAAGACCCTCTTTGTGTTTCCTAAGAGCCTAGGAGCATAGTAATCATATGTGGAATTGAATTAAATCCTGGCATTGGCTGTTAAATTTGAAAATTATGCCAGGACTTTGTAAAGGTCTTCCACAAATCTTTTGAAGTTCTCAGTAGCACTTCATTTGATTGTAGCAATGAATTAGATTATTACTAGAAGCCAGGTGCTCTCTCAGGGAAGACAGCTTCAGGCTCAGCCAGAAGTATTCCTGAATCACATGGTCAAGCTGTTCATATGCTTCAGTTCCCTAGAATGGTACCTGAGGTCGCTAATGTTTTTTTCTGGTTGAACAGACAAGGTAGGGACCAGAAGGTTGAGTCCTAAAGACAGAAGCCAGCTGTGGTTGTATGTGTGTGGGTGCAGTTGCATGCGCACATGTTTGCCTACGCTAAAGACGGAGGGAGGGAGGACGATTTGAGCCCAACAAGGTCTGCCAAAGGACAGTGTGTACAGGTCTCTTTCTATTGGTGGGGTGAAACAAGAGGAGATCTGTGATAATGCCTCTAGTTTCCCCAGCTACATGGGTGTTAGGACAGAGTCTGTAGAAAAGGGATAAGGAGAGTTATCTGCTCAGCAGAGGTTCTGGGCCACATTGATGACGTTGGTGATGATTGTAATAGCAGCTTAGCAATTTTTTTATTAAGTGCTTACCACATGTCAGGTGCTGGGCTATGTGCTTACCATTAAAAGGACAAAACTTGGTGTCCTGAAATCCTGAAGGGATGAACAGGTAACAGAATTGAGAGAAGTGGGTTCAGTATAGGAAAAACAGTGGAACCAACACTTAGCCTAAGAGCAGGGAGACATTTGGAAGAGTTAGAGGGAATTGCCTGTGCCAGTTTTTGCCCTTTGGGCCTAGAGTTGCCAGATCTTCCAATATTTTTTAAAAGAAGCTGGAAACCTAGAATTTTTTTCTAATCAGTTTTATTAAGGCATAATAATTAAATAATAATTATTTTATTAGGGTAGAATAAACTTACACACACAAACTATGCACAGTTTAAATATACAGTTCAACAAATATATCTACCAAGGAAACCACCTCTACTATCAAAATATAGACCAGTTGGGCTGATTATAGCTCAGTGGTAGAAAGCTTACCTAGCATGTATAAGGTCCTGGGTTCAAATCTAGCACTGTGGGAGAAAAATAAATGAATAAAACAGTGTGCATGTACGTGTATATGTATGTGAAACAATTTTATCAACTCTAAAGGAATCCTACATAGTTTTAATTAGATTAAATGTTAGAAACAAAAAGAATTTTTTAAAATCAGGAATTGAACCCACATCCCCAGTCCTCTTTATTTTGAGAAAGGGTCTTGCTAAATTGGTGAGGGCCTCTTTTTTTTTAACATTTATGTTTTAGTTGTAGTTTTATTTTATTTTATTTATTTATGTTTATTTTTTTATTTTATTTATTTATGTTTATGTGGTACTGAAGATCGAATCCAGGGCCTCGCAAGTGGGGTTGCCACTGAGCCACAACCCCAACCCCTGGTGAGGGTCTCTTTAAATTGCTGATATTGGCCTTGAACTTGAGATCCTCCTGCCTTAGCTTCCCAAGTCCCTGGGATTATAGGCATGTAGCACCGCACTTGGCTTAAATTAAAAAAATTTAAATGCTGCACAAACCAAATGTATCCTGAGCAGTTTTTGACCTCTGAGCTTCCAGTTAAGAACCTCCAAGGCAGGGAAGACCCTTTAGTAGAGTGTCTTGTGCCTCATGGCACAACCCAGGCTATGACCAGGGCTGTGACCTGTACCAGGAGTCATATTAGGGACTTGTCAATCAGTGGTTCCAATTCCCTGAAAGCACCAGGTGGGCCTGTCAAGAGGTCAGAGCATGTAGAAATATTCGCTTGAGAGCTCATGGCTGGACTGTGCTGCAGGCTGTTTCAGAACTGCAAACATAGGGGCCCCATGCACTGGTCTTGGGCAGACTTCAGATATAAGGAAAAGCTGCAGGGAGTGCTTCTGGGCCAGGACCAACCATCCTTATACAATGTGTCATTTGACATGATGGCTCTTTGGCTCAGGCAGGACGGAATCACTAGAACTACTGAGCAATGCTATGTATTGATCACACTTCTCCAATATTCCACAAATTAACTCCCCTAATCCTCCCTGACTCTCTGAAGCAGATAATATCCCCATTTTACAGATGAGAAAAGTGAGATGCAGAGAAGTTAAGGAGCACAGCCAAGTGGTGAAGATGGGGTTCAAATCCAGCAAATCTACTTTGAGAGTCTGTGTTCCTGCTCCTAGAGAGGGGGATGGGGATGACCGTGGGACTTAACCACCCAGTCCCCAGGCAGATTCACTGTGGTGCTCCCCCCCCCCCCCCCCCCCCCCCCCCCCCCCCCC